TACACCGTGAGGTACGTCGCCGACGAGGCTGGCTTCCGCGCTGAGGGTGACCATCTGCCCGTCGCCCCCGAGGTCCCCGCCGTCCCCGCCACCTTCTAGAGACAACCACCTGTGATGCCGCCTCGCTACGCCACACCACCCCGAGCCACACCATTCTGGGGGGCGTCTGCGGAGTGCTAGTCAGCCCCTACCGCGTACCTGTAAACACAAAACCACAATAAAAACGGATTAAAACATGGAATATTATTTTGCCTACCCCTAGTTTGGTTGTGTCGCGAAAAATGAAGCGACACAAGAGCCTGTTGTCTCTTTCTCACTCATACTTTTTCTGCGGTGCACTTAATTTGCTCCTAATCATGGCAAGTTGTTTCAAGCCAGATACGGCTGAAACTCTGGTGTATCAATTAACCCGATCGATTTGGGAAGAATCTTCCAAGCACTGGATTATTTCTCTATTGTCTTCTTTACTGATCCCATAATATTCACTCTTTCTAATTTCTCGGGGTAGGAATGCTATCGCGTGGTGACATAGCGGGCATGTGTGTTGTGGCGCCGTATTATCGTGATTACCTTAGCTATAAGGGATGGCCCATAATATAGGAACACGTTCCTCCACTTTCAAAACACGCCTTTGAAAACCCTAGTGCTCCAAGAGGACACAAAGAAGTGACGAATGGTCGCGGAACCTGCAGGCACATCTCAAATTGCATGTGTAATAGGCATTCTTACATATGAATTACTGGTTTGGGTGTCAAAGACTGTCAATTCAGTACTTTCATAATTTACGGAGGTTCATGTAAGCTCTATGTCTGGTTTTGATATACACCCTATTCCGCGAAAATGTAATTTGAGGGAGAAAAGCACAACCGTAGACCACGGCACTGCCGCTTCACCCACGTGCACACTAACCCTTATGCATTTTTTGGTGAATAAACATGCAGAATTTTATACAGCCATGAGTATGCACAAATTTTATGCATAATTACGTAAAAATTGTGCATGATTATTTACAAACTGAACATAGTTATGCACAAAATTGTGCATAATATTATGGCTGTATAAAATTCTGCATGTTTATTGACAACACAATGCATTAGGATTTAGTGCGTGATCTTTAATTGGTCAACGGTGACGTCACTTTCGCAGTCAGCCACGCACAGGTGGAAACAAGAACGTCAGTATTGCTTTACATCCTTACACTGTAAAACGTGAAGAATGTATGTACATGTACAATATATTTTGTAATTAATTGCTATTTACTAAATGTGTCATCGTCTCGCAATGTCTACACACTCCGGCCAAGCTGCCACTCTTGTTCGTCATTCGATTTTAATTCGATACGGAGTGCTTGTACATTCACGATCTTGAATTGTAATTGTACGGCTTTTTCCAAGGAATTTTTTTTGCACTCGCTCCGACAACTGTTGATGGTGTAGGTCTCGGCGGAAAACGTTACGCACCTTAAGTTTCAGTATGTACACAAACCACCGATATACAAAAGTTTGACCGAGCAGAAATAGAAAAGGCCTAGATAAACAATTGTAAAAATCAGGACATTCATGTGCCATGAATACATCCGGGTGAATTTTGCAAGCCAAGCGAGGTACACGTTTTCTGCAAAGTTTAATAATCTTTGGTTTGCTTCTCTTAATGAAAGAAATCACAGAGGCGACATGCTGTTTCAATTGCAGATGAATAATATGCCAAGAGTTAAGTGAATTATACACAGCTCACATCAGTTCTGCGAGTTTAAATACTCACTAAGGCCATCACGCCATAGGGATTATTTTAAAAGAAATTCCCTTTTTTATCAGACTCATTCGGCAAATAACGGGTGCTCAGCGCCTGCGAGACTCAGGGTAGGCCACCCCGCAGTACACGCATGCGCTTTAGGCAAATTGTTGCCTACCCACCCAGGCGCTTCAAGAGCTGGCATACGCTGAACTTTGCCGTATCCTAATAGCGAATGACGGAACGTAGTTTCTAGAGCGATTCTTAAGGCCAGAGAGGTCGGCAGATCCGCCCACACAGGCACGTGCACACACACGCACACAAACACTGTAATAAAAACCTACAGCTTATTGCTGCACAATTCAACCTTGTACTTTCAAATGACAATATCATATCGGTATTCCAGTGTTTCACCCCACAATGTACAATGGAAATTAAACAACCCTCTCACCAAACCTTTCTTATATGGTAGGTTTTTAGCCCACCCTTCTGCTTTGTTCTTACAGAGAAACGAAGTAGACGAAAGTCTGCAATCGAGAAATGGTAAAAGCAGCTCAAACATTCGTAACTCAAACCATACAAGATTCGTGTTGGGCAGAGTATTAAAGAAAGTAGTACTAAACTAAAACGATTAAAAATCTTATTCGGAATATAGAGAATGATTTTTTTTGCTGACCATAGAGTTAATTGTTTTAACTTTTTAAGTGCTTGTACAGTTATAGCTGAGTGTTAGCTCGGTGATATGCCTCCCACCCTCAGCCCAGCGGTGGGCCCCGAGGGCCAAGAGGGCTGCCCACAGCCCGGTATAAAAGCTGAAACACCTGCCACTCAAGTCATTCCACTCCCGC